CTGACCAATTCTCAATCGCCTTGAATTTGGAAGTGTCCACGTGTATTCCTTCCTCGCTAACCACGTGACCGTGGAAAATGACTTTTCTGATCCAGAATTCACACTTGGTGAATTTTGCATATAGTTTCTCCGCCCTTAATGTTTCTAGCACTAAGCTCAAGTGCTGCTTGTGATCTTCCTCACTCCGAGAGTAGACAGTAGTATATCATCTATGAATACTATTACAAACCTGTCTAAGAAAGGGTGGCACATCCGATTCATCAGATCCAAGAATACTGCGGGTGCATTGGTTAGACCAAAGTTCATAACTACAAATTCGTAGTGACCATACCGAGTCCGAAATGTTGTATTGGGAACATCCCTTCATGGACTCGCAACTGATGGTACCCTGATCTCAGGTCTATTTTCGAGAAATAACCGGCTCCTTGGAGTTGATCGAAGAGGTCGTCGATTCTGGGTAGAGGATAACGGTTTTTGATGGTAAGCTTGTTAAATTCACGATAATCTATGCACATCCGAAAGGACCCATCTTTCTTTTTCACAAACAAGACCGGGGCTCCCCAGGGTGAGGAACTTGGTCTAATGAATCCCTTGCCGAGTAGTTCATTTAGTTGGTTGGATACTCTTGCATTTCTGCCGGTGCTAGATGGTATGGGGATTTAGCTACAGGAGTAGCTCCGGGAATTAAGTCGATACGGAACTCGACTTGGCACTCGGGAGGGATTCCGGGAAGATCTTCGGGGAAGACATCAGGAATGTTGCAGACTTCGGGGGTGCTCTCGAGGTCTTTAACTTCCTTCTTCTCATTAACGACATGGGCTAGGAATGCATGTCACTCCTTTCATAGATATCTCTGGGCTTTGATGCATCAAATGATACGAAGGTTTGAGCTAAGTTTATCACCATAGATAATAAGAGTTTCGCCAGAGGGAAAATTAGGCGGATGGCTTTTTCATAACAAAGGATATCAGCATGATTGGGGCTCAACCAATCCATGCCAATGATGACATCGAAGCTTTTTATGGAAACTGGAATGAGGTCGATTGGAAAGGAATGGTCGTTTAGTGTAAGGTACAGCCTATGAATACGTCGTTAGTGCTCTCTTTCTTTCCGTTAGCCATCTCGACGGTAATGTTTCGGTTAAAGGTTGGGATTTATGTTTGAGAAGATGCTTAAATGCATGACTAACAAAACTTCTCTCTGCACCAGAATCGAAAAGATGCATGCATAAGTTAAGTTGTCGAGGAGGAACGTACCCGTAACAATGGTGGGATCAGCGACTGCTTCCTCCTGCCCATGGCTAGCACTCTCCATGTGTTGGCAACAGTTGTTGCCTTGGGGAAATTCCTCTTGAAGTGCCCGATCTCCCCACAGCCATAACAGGCTGACCAATGCCCGCTCCAGAGCCTGATTGGTTGGTTGGGTGGTGTCTTGCAAAAATCGAGTTGTGTTCCCCTTCTTGCCACAACTATTGTATTTCAAATCACGGCAGGGTTCTGATGATGATGAAAGTTGCACTTGTCGCACCTTGGAAGAGTAGTACCAACATATCTACTGGCAGGTGCTTGAGCTGCAGGAATAGCGGCAGGAGTGGTAGCAGCATGAACTGCCACTACTTGCTGCTGTTTCTTGGAGGGTTCCTGCGAAGGCTGGCCCTTACGCTTGTTTCAAAACTTTTTCTTCCCACCACTCGCCTTTGGTGGTTCGGGAACGACTGCTACTGTATCAAGATCAAACCCGTGATCTATAAGAATTTGCGCTAAACACTTGGCGCTGTCGAATGTGAGAGGTTTAGCAGCCAAGACATTTCCTTGAGTTGGGGGCGTCAATCCCCAAATGTACCTCTCTATTTTCTTGCTTTCCGGGGTGACCATCCCCAGACAGAGAAGAGCCAGATCGCAGAATCTAGCTGTATAGGTGGCAATGTCGGAACCCTTCATCTTCAGGTTCCAAAGTTCGTGCTCCAACTTCTGCATTTCGCCTCTTGGGCAGTACTCAGCAAGCATTAGCTCTTTTAAGCTCTCCCAGCGCATGGCATTGGCTATTGGAAGAGTTAGGGATTTGACCCGACCATTCCACCAAGTCAATGCTCTATCAGTGAAAGTGCAGGCGACAACTTCACCTTGCTTTCCTCGGAACATGCGCAAATCTCAAAAATGATTCGATCTTCTCGAACCACCAGGTTAGGGCAATGACTCCTCCATTGTCGTCGAAAGATTTGGGCTTCACATTCATGAAATCTTTGTAGGAACACTCCTTCGGGTGTCCCTGGCCGCCGTCAAGATTTCGAGGATTGGGTCCACTTCCTGATCCGCCAGTGCCACCCGGATTCATTTGTGACATTGCAGCAGCCACAACGGTTGTAACTGCTGCCTGAACATGACAGGATCGAACTGAGGAGGTGGTGGCGATGGAGGATCGTTGTTATGCTTGTTAGGTCTCTTCCTGGGAGGCATCATTCTCTAACAGATACAAGGGAAAAATGACGATAAGCCTTCTATTCTGATCATGAATTGGATATTTTCGAGCAAGATATATCTAAACCCTACTGCGATATCAGAGATCTACGATAAAGGTTACTATCATAACAAGGAATTGCAGGCCTTTCATTTGTGAGGATTAGTACTACTTGTGCAGTGTTATAGAATCATAAAATACTCCTATAGTATTTTAACTATGTGCTTCATTAGTGCATGATTTGGTGAGTTTTTGACTTGTCGCAACACCACAGTCACTCCCAAACACATGTTGGTCATATCTCGGACAAATATAGTTGATCAGGTTATATTGGCCCAACATATGACTACATAACTATTCAGGTTTAACAGTAGTGTCCAACTTGCCCTAATTACTTTTATGTAATTCTTACTATGTTATAGCTTCTTGTACATATGTATACTTGTATATTTTTGTAAAATACTTAAATTTTAAAGTATACTTTTAGTTTCAGAGCGCTTCGGCCCCTTTAGTGTTTATAGTTGTATACCATGTAAGGCCCGATATACTTAGTTCACTATAAACAAGAGCTCTGATACCAATCTGTCACACCCACAAACCCGAACGGCAGAAACGTTCAGGGGTAGAGGACGTCATGTAAAGTATCACAACAATTGCATCATAGTAATCAAAGTAAACACAACCATTACATTGAATATATAATAAAGTATTTACATCTGTTTGATTCATATTTGTATACATCAAAATTAGCAAAAAATTAAAGACGTGACTCTATATGCTCTGTCTTCTCGAAAGTCTGCTGAGGTACCTGTCTACTGATTTCTTGAGAATACAAGCGATTTTGAAAAGAGTATCAGCATAAAGCTGGTGAGTTCATAAGCATGCTTTTGTAATGAAATTCTGTTAATGAATCAGTGAAAAAGGGTTGTATGTTTCCAAGAAAATCCCATATTTTCTAATGTATGTGCTTGCTACAGTGTTCCATGAAGTATTAGTTTGAATGCCTGATTATCACCAGATGAATTGTATATTACGGTTTTGAATGTAAAAATCCATTTTTGTATGAAAACCTTGGATATCACCAGTATTATTTATTATTAGTTTTATTACTTAAAATAATGACTGTGAATTGGAATCCCTGAAATCCTCCAGTTGTATTATGGAATAGTTTCTATTAACGAAAATAAAACTAAAGAAGAGTGAAATTCCGTAAACAAAAATGTTAGTTTATACTAGTGTTATTCGTATAACATGCTTGATATGACCTAGATTCCTTTACGACGTTCAAGTGTCGGATATATGACATTTGTCACCTCAGGCATGCCTGC